TTTGTAAGATCATGTAGAATTAGTCATTGTTTTATTGATCATTATATTTTTCTAAATAGCATATCTTGAAAGCGTTTACCAATTAAAGATTATCCTCCGTGTTTAAAATTATTCTAAATTTAGTATGTGATTCGTTTAATATCCAGGTCAAGCTCACAGCTCCGTAGAACGTGCCGGCCTTCTGGGAGGAGTGAAGTTCCGGCTATTGGAAGTAGATTCAAAATACAAGCTTCGCGGCGAAACACTCGCGGATGCCATTCGAAAAGACAAGGAGCAAGGACTGATCCCATTTTACGTAAGTTTTCAAGTATGACAACATTTCCCAATTGAATTTGGAACAATTTTCTCAGATACTATCGTTAAATAGAAGAATCAACAACGATGATAAAAAATCGTTTAGTGTAATGTCGTGTGCAGAGTTTCAACCTAATTTATATTAAAAATATATCGCAATTTAAATTTCTACGAAAAATCTTCTACAACTCAAGTTTATGTAAAAAAATCTACTATAATTCAAATTTTGTCTTCGTTGCCGATTGTGTCGTTTACGAAAAAATGATTTTCCAATTTATTGCAAAAGAGGTTTGTTTGAATTTATTTAATGCGCTTTGCAACATTTTGCTGAATGAGAAATAATATTTTCCTTTTCACAGGCTGTGGCGACCTTGGGTACGACTTGCTCGTGTGCATTCGATCGTCTCGACGAAATGGGTGTCGTTGCGAATCGCGAAAACGTCTGGTTGCACGTCGATGCTGCTTATGCTGGTGAAGTAATCAAGTTTCACTCATATTTCCGCGAGCTCGCCTTAATTACATGTTCGAACTTTAATTTTGCCTTCTTCAGGCTCCGCTTTCATTTGTCCTGAATTTCGATATCTAATGAGAGGTATCGAATTAGCGGACTCCTTCAACTTTAATCCACACAAGTGGATGCTGGTTAACTTTGATTGCTCAACTATGTGGTTGAAAGATCCGACTTACGTAATCAACGCCTTCAACGTTGATCCGCTATATCTGAAACACGATATGCAAGGATCTGCTCCTGATTATAGGGTAATTATGCTTTCGATTTTATAGAAGATTTGTCTAATTACATTTTATATATTATCCATTGTAGTTCCCTTAAAACAAGGGTGTCAAACTCAAAAGCTAACTTGGGCCAAATAAACAATG